AGATACATTTGTTCCCTTCTTGTTACCCATGTTGTTGCTTGTGCCCTTTTATTGTTTATTTAGACACATTACAAGCCTATATGAGCCCCATTGGTTACTAGTCCCAAGCTTGGCTTGGGGGAGCTATTAGTTAGTGAGGTATGCGAGTTGTGGTGTGCACATTATTTGCACAATGTGGGAATAAAAGAAGAGTTATTTTTCTTTGATTTTTTTTATTGGAAAATATTGATATTGTGTTTCAAAGTTGAAATTTCCAATATGAGTTAAAAAGAAAAGAAAAAAAAAGAGCAAAAGAAAAAAAAATTGTTAATGCTCAAATGTTCTATTTGAAGGTTGTTCAAAAAAAAAAAAACAAGAAGAAAAATTCAAGTAGGAAAAAAAAAAGAAAAATGAGTTCAAAGTTTGTTTTTCACTCAAAGTTCTACATTATCATTTTTTTTATGAGTGAATATTGTAAGTGTTGGGATTGTTTATGATGATTAGAGTTGTATTTGGTGGTTTTTGTTGGAGTTAGTTATGTTGATGGAGATGTATGATCATCATTTATTTTGATCATGGGTTTATTAGGATTTGGCTCTCTTAATGCATAGCTTTTCTCTCACATAATCCCAAATTTATCCTACCTTTGCCCTAGCCTTACATTACAAGCTTTAAAGACCTTCCGACCTTGTGCATAGAAGTTATGTAAATGTGAAAGTGTTGTTTATCAATGCAAGTTATGACTTGGCATATTTCGAGTCGACTAGTAGGATGAGCGTTCATTGTTTTTATACACACGAGAGTGTGAGTTGGGAGGGCATTGTTCATATTAAAAGGGTTGGTTGGAGAGCGATCGAGTACATCTTTTACTCGTCACATAAATGAGAGTTGAGTGTGTGAGCACTAGTCTTGAATTCTATATGCTCTTGTGGTTTGCTCTACTTGACAATTGTTGGGGAGGAAGGGTGATTAGATGAATAAGATTGATTGATGTTGAAGCATGTTCATTAGATTTGCCTTGAATCGTTGGTGCTTGATTTGATTATTGGGGTGAAGTATGTTTTATATGTTCATTGATGAGCTCTTTGCTTAGGGACAAGCAAAGGTTTGGCTTAGGGGAGTTTGATATGTCCATTTTATATAGTGTTTTACCCCCGTCCCTTGGTTGTTATTAGTAGTGTTTTTGGCTCTTTTGGGCCACTTTTATTACTAATTTGTGTTTTTTAGTGTTTTCGTATTTTTAGTTGTATTTTACAGGAAATTGCACTCTTGGAGCATTTTCCCGGGCTTTATGGATCAACTACGGAAGCTAGAAGGACACGACCACTTTTGGAGCCCAGGATCGGTGAGAGCCGGTGATTAAGGGCTCGGTAATTGGGATCCTGAGGTATTCGGACCGAGTGTTAAAGACCCGAAGAGGAAATCCGGATTGGGCCGAGAAATCAAGCCCAATCAAAGTCCGAACCTCAAAATGGAGCAAGGGCCCGATTGGGCAGCCTCTAGCACAATCGGGCGCGGCAAGGCATTGGTGTTGTGTGTGCTATAGCGTGCCCGATGTGCGAGCGTCTAGCACGATCGGACGATGTTGCGGAGAAGGAACGCGAAGAAAAAGGCGCGCACGATCGGGCGGCCATTTGCCCGATCGGGCGCGCGTTTTTATAGGACCTGATTAGTTTAGCTTTAATTTTGTTTTAATAAACGTTTAAGTACGATATTTTACGGAATTTTAGATTACCTTCTTTCTTAGACTTTCTCTCTCTACTTAGAATATTTTCTCTCTCTTAAGTTCTCTCTCAACTTTTGTTCTTAATTACTTCCATTAATCCAGTTTTCTTTTAGTAACAATTTCTTCCCTTTGAATTTCAGCTGTTTTACTTGCTTCTTTGATTATGCTTTTATTTAATTATTTGATTAGTTTAGTTATGATGATGTGTGAGTAATTTCATTTTAGGGTTTATAGAGATCCATAATTAATATGAAGGGATATTTTGTTATTATTGATTTTTGATATTGCATGATAATTTCTTATTGAATTGTTTTAATTCTTTGCAATTAGATTATGAATCGAGCAGATGTAATTTGATTATGAATGTTTAGCAATATTGAATTGATGAATCGAGCAGATGTTAATTTAATATTAAAGGCTATTTTCAATAGGAACTTAGATCTAGTAAATTGCGAGAGCCTGTTAAATCTATGTTGATTAATAAATTGCGAGAGCCTGTTAATCATGTTATTTGTGCATTGTTAATTATTAATTACTTCGTTCTATCCCGGAATATTAATTGTTGGTGAACCTGTGACCCTAGGCTTTCTTATTATTGTTTCTTTTCTCCCTAAACTTATTCTTCGTACGTAGTATAGAATTATTTCCCAGAAATATTGGTTACTTAGATAATTTAGACTATAATAATTAATTAGGAGTAAAAAGATATGTTTCCCTGTGGAGTTCGACCCTACTTCCCTATCTACTTTAGTTAGAGGACTTAGGTAATTATTTTTGATTAGAGGATACGACTTTACCCTGTCAACGGCACTACACTCTGCAGTGAAAGCTACTGTCTCTACCTCACTAATAGACCCTTTTCTTGTCAATATTTCCTTCATAAATTTTGCATATGAAGGAATTTGTGTGATTAATTCAGTGAAGGGAACTATTACCTTCAAATCTTTTACCATCTCCAGAAACTTACCAAACTGCTTATCCAAATTTGTTTTCAAGTGACGATTGGGGAATGGAAGTTTGATAACTGGCGTTGGAGCATTATTGCTCTTATCTGGAATGGCCACCTTCTCTGGAGTCGTACCCTGCAATGTAGAATTAGATATATTAGTACTATGCTTTAGCCCTGCAGGGCTATTAGCTACATTGTCAGGTTTAACGGAATCAAGATTAGCATTATTTATTAACACAGGTTCATCGTCTCTGGGCATACGGAGCCCTTCATAATTTGAACCACTCCTTAAAGTAATTTCATAGGCTTGATCCGTAGGCCTGGTCGGCTGTGCTGGCAGAGTTCCCTATTGACGGGCTTGTAGAGTAGCGAAAAGTTGCGCAATTTGATTATCTACAATTTTATTGTGTGCTAAGATTGAATCAATTTGGGCATCCCTACTCTCCATGTGCTTCTGCATATTAACCAGCATTGCGCTAATTTCTACAAAAGCAGGGTCAGTAGATGAGGAGGATTGTTGTGGTTGGTTCTTCTGGCCAGCATTGGGGTGGTAATATTTCTGCTCTTGTTGTTGTGGCGCCTGTTATTCTTGTGGTGGTGGATTTTGAACATTGGTACTCCGGTAGGAAAGGTAAGGATGATTCCAGTACCCAGGATTGTAGGTGTTGGAGTATGGGTTATTCTGCCTATAAGCTTGAAAGGCATTAACTTGCTCCACGGAACTCCTGCAATCTTGCTCCCAATGACCTAAAATTCCACAATTTTCACAGAAAGCCTCATTAGCATTATTATTAATTGCAGAAACATTAGCTACATTAGCAATACTAAGATTATCTAAATTCTGGCAGATAGAGGTTAATTAAGCTTGCAAAAAGGATACAGAGTCTACACTATGCTTCCCCTTATTAGCAAAACCTCTAGGATTCCCATATTGGGAATTATGTATCGTCATATGACTCATATCTTCAATAACTTGACCTGCATCATCAACATTAAGATTCATAAACCTCCCACTAGCTGCAGAATCTAATATTGTTCCAGACGAATTTCCAATGCCATTGTAAAAGGCTTGGATTAACTGCCATTGTGCCAAATTATGGTGGGGGCATTCTCTTTGTAGGTCCTTGAACCTCTCCCAATCCTCATATAAAGTTTCATTAGCTTCTTGGGCAAAGTTCTGAATTGCACTTCGTAGTACGGTTGTTCTCTCTACAGGATAATATTTGTTATAAAAAATCAAAACAAGAGTTTCCAAGTCAGTTATACCAAGTGCAGTTCTATTTAATCCATTAAACCATAATTTGGCTTTTCTAGTTAAAGAGAAAGGAAAGAGAATCTCCCTGATTTGGTCTTGTGTGACCCCAGCTTGCATGATGGTATTATAGTACTGACAATAGTCTGCAATATGAAGATTTGGGTCTTCACCCTTAGCCCCACTAAATTGCTTCCTTTCTATCATCGTTATAAATTGGGGTTTAATCTCAAACTGTACCCCATCAAGAGCCGGAGTGGGAGTGAGGTGTGGAAAATCTGTAAGCTTTGGTTGTGAGTAATCACTAAGCTTCTTTGAAGCCGCCATCTCTGATTCTGGATCTGATGATATCTCTGAATCGCTAGAACCAGTTGGAGGATCTCGGTGATTATTATTATCACCAGAATCCGCTAGAATTTGCTTGTAAAGATTCTTCTATCTATGGAAGGATCGTTCGATCTCAGGATCGAATGGAATGTACCTTGATCTGGAACACCTGGGAATAAACAAAAAAAACTAAAAGCAAATATGAAACTTGCCTCAAATATATAACTAATGTTCTCTGAGACAAAAAGAAATAAACTAGACTACAAAAATAATCAGAAACAAAAATAAAATCGTTTCCCCGGCAACGGCGCCAAATTTTGACAGGATAAAGTCGTATCACCTAATCAAAAGTAATTCCTTAATCCTCTAACTAATGTAGATAGGGAAGTAGGTTCGAATCCACAAAGAAACGAGTCTTTCTATTCCTAATTAGTTAATATAATCTAGATTATAAAGTAACCAAAATATAATGATCGAAGGAAATTAAACTACGAAGATTAAGAATAAGGAGAAAACAATGAATAAAAGGCCTAGGGCATAGGTTCACCAATAAATAATATTCCAGGGTAAAATATAATAATCAATCATCAATGTATAATCAATCATCAATGCATAAATTAATCAGATCATAGGGCATAGGTTCACCACTACCACTACTACTACTACTACTACTACTACTACTATTATTATTATTATTACTATTACTATTATTATTTTATTATTATTTGCTCGCAATAAATAAGAAAATTAAAAAACTACAAAGTACATACAATAAATATAAGCAAAATTATATAACAGCCATTTTATTTTTGCTTGAAAGAAATACAAACAATGAATACCTAAACAACTCCGATCCATACCAAAATACATATCTAAATAGTTCACATTACATTATAATAATATTAAAACCCATATAAGGAAATTAAGTACATTCATAATGTTATGAGTTTGGATAATCGTCGACCAAGAATGTCCCAACAATAATCATATCATTCTTCCTCCTCTACTCAATGTGGTTTATCATGTACCTATACAAACAAACAATAAAATTAAATGATATTAGAGAACATATTATCTTGAAAATCATAACATGCCTTACAAACCCCCCTGCACCAACATTAACTTAATAATTGCATTTGAACGTGATGTTATCGATTCATCAACCTTGTGCTTATCTTCACACCAACTTTCAACCTCTTCCTCAAGCTCCTAGATGACAAATAAAGTATGATTAGAACAAGAAAGACTAAATAGATTGATATTAAATGGATAGTATACTTGTTCCCATTATCAGCACACATGTTACTATCTAAACACTAGGTAATTTGTAGAACAACAAAATTAAAGTCAATTTAACAAACAAAAAAAAAAAAAAAAAAAAAAAGTGCTCTCCAAATCATATATTATCCTAGCTATTGATTCTTTTCACTTCTTTCCTAAAAAACTAGCTCTGTACATAGCATAATCACAATTTAAGAGGAGCCATTTCCAATGGTATGATTAGAGTAGAACAATCACAAAGAAAGGTGGCGTTGAGTGTATTTGAGTAATCTAACTAAGCATTGCTCCTATGATGATGTCTGAACCTTTATCATGAACACTATGTTAAACTATAAAAGGACGCACAACTCTACCTAAAATAAATGGTAGAATGCCAGAATCGACGGAATATCTTATTCATAGATCTTATGAACATTGCTGTGATTATGCAACAAGTCATAAAACCTAATAAAATCTATGAATATATTGCTTTGATTATGAAACAAGTCAAACTTGCAATATCCGTTATTTACCACTCAATTGCTTTCAAATTGTGCCGTTCAAATAGTGTCCTGATATAAAGTTATGGATTGGAACAATATAATTTTAATAAAATTATTGTTATGCATCATAATTCTTAAGTCATGAAAATTAATAAATAAAAGAGTATATAGCAAAAGCTATATATACAAGGATACATATGACATATGCTCACCAACATTAGAAAAACATCAAGCATAGAAATTACCTCACCAACATTACTCAATGCATAAAACAGAGTTGCAACAATAACAAGAAAGTCACCAAAAAGAGTTCTAGATCCACTTTTAAAAAATCAATTAAAAATGTAAAACTAAATCATTCTTGTCCACTACTTCATTCAAGTACTCAACTATCTTGTATTCATGTGAAGCCAAGCCAAGCCAATAAAGGATTAATTTCCATTTACACTGAACTCATTTCATACGATCTGTAATTTCAGCTCTTATCACTCCAATACAACATACAAGGGATAAAACTTCTAAATCGCAATGTCCTATATTTTCATCATTTTCCTCACCTCTTTAACCACCAAAATACTATGTTCATACAAAAAATACACATGTACAATACTAAAGTAATATGAATGTATGAGTATCATAAAATTTTGCTCCAATCATAAAATTTAAGCTTAAACACCACCACTACAATCGTCGTTTAAAATTCAATATTCACTAGTTTGAATTCTACACTTTCACATAATCTGATCAATATTCATAGATTTTATAAGGCTTGTACAGTTAAGAATCAAACAAAAACATCACAAATCTTATATGAAAAAAATTGCATATTAAAAAAAATAAAAATTGTACATAAAGAACTGAAAGTGACAAACATGCATATACATAACAATTCTAATATAATTACACTAACAATAAATTCGATAGATAACAAAATGTGTTGTTAAATTACAATATACATCACAATCATTATATTAATAATTCATCAATTAAAAAAAATTACATCAAAATTAGGAAGATACTCGACTGTAGTTGGGAAAATTAAAAATATAAATACATACCTGAAAAACAATATGAGAGAAACAGAGATCGAGTGTTACCTTCACCATCAATGGAAGAAGGAAAATGCTGAAATAGAAAACTGCGAAAACCCTAAAAGTGAAGCTCTTCACCAACCGCCGTCGCCGTCATCATCACCAATCACGACCACCAAGTCCACTATCCCAGTCACCATTACCATCTTTGTCATAAGTACATGAAATTTTTTTTGAAGGAACAAGTAGATGAATATTTACTTAATGTTTGATGGTAGATCTTGTTTTAGATCCTAGAGAAAGAAAGAAAGAAAGTTGAGAGAGATAGAGAGGAAGGAGAGAGAAAAGAAAATTTTGGTGGCGGAAATTACAAGGGTTTCAACATTGGGGAAAATTTGGAGGTGAAATAATAGGCGCCCACTTGAATATATACGGATCACGTGTTAAGATCAAATGCAACAGCAATACTACACCGTAGCAATAGCTAAAAAGTGTGTTGCATCTAACATTCTAATGCAACGGTTCTTTAAAGCCATTGTACTAGACCGTTGCATTAGGCATAGCCATTGCATTAACCGTTGTAGTAGATATAGCTGTTGCATTAGACCGTTACAGTAGATATAACTGTTGCATTAGACCGTTGCATTTGTTCGTTTATGTGGTAGTGTTTATTTCGATTCGAATTCGGATTCTTTTCTTATTCTTAGACCCTCTTTTTTCTCTATAAATAGAGGTCATATATTCCCTTTTCCAATTCTCATCAACTCTCATAAAAAATTTCTTGATTCTCTCTCTCCCTCTTTTTAGCCTAGCCTTTTACAAACAAAATTCCTCATACATTAGCACTAGACACACCTAGCCAAGTTCGAAATTGCCTTCGCCTTAGACTTGAAAGGTTTGATATTTCTGAGGGTTTGATCCTAAATCTCTTTTTCAATTATTTAATTTAATTGTTTGTTTTATATTTTATTTGGAGTTACTAACGTGTGTATTTTGTTATTAGAAAGAGATACGAGGCATCCAAGTAAGTGCTCTAATTGTTTAATTGATATTTTGATATAGAAATCATGTTTAGGTTGTTATTTTGATTCCTAGTATCATGTTAGGATTATCATGTTATGATATTTTTCATAGTATGATGTTTAGGGTAAAGAATAAGTTCCTTAAATCAATTATGATTTCTATGATACTTCCTATTTCTTTCCTAATATCATGGTAGGGTTAAAGCTTTGATTTTTAATGTTTAGTGACATGCTAGGGTTTGTTATTAATCTTATTAGTACCATGCCTAGAATCTTGCTAATATTATTATGCATTATTGTTAACATGATTATTTTTATAATTGTTATAATTATTATTATGATGATGATTATTGTTGTGTCGAATTTTATAATTTAACGTAATTTCTTAATTAGCAAATTGTTTCACGTAATTTGTAAATTTACGAATTGTTTCACGTAATTTGTTAATTTACGAATTATTTAACGTAATTTGTTAATTTATGAATTGTTTCTCATAATTTGTTAATTTACGAATTATTTTATATTATTTGTTAATTAACGGATAACTTATATATAATTTGATTAATATGTTGCTTGATATATATTTATTGTTATTGCTTGATCACACCTTTAATGCATGTTTAAAGGGAATTGATACTTGTAATCATGCTTAATAAGATAATTAATAATAGATTTATTTGTACATTAATATTAAACCAACATAGATTAAACAGGTTTAGGGTTGACCTATTGATTGCATGTTAGTCAGAAAGCGCACATGAATACGAGAAGAATAAAGTAGAGGATTATTATTAGGGCATGTTCTTTCTCTTTTAGATTAGATTTATACCTTCATTCCCGAACTTCAAGTCTTGCTTCAAGACCTATTGGAATTAACGATCTCATGGATCGTTAGGGGGTATAACCTTCACCCTGTGAACGGTTTACAAATTCCTAAAACTTGTTGGCGACTCTTTTGCTCTAGCTTCCTTCCTTTTGGACGCCACCATACTTAAGTGTATGATCACAGTAGGGTGATTGTTTGGGGTAATGCTTGAAATATTCCCTACACCATCATTGGATTATTTTTAAATAATCCGATCTTTATAATCAATCCGCTCCTAATGGTCCTAAGTGACCTGTAACTGGTTGGGTATGTAATTTTTTTTAGTAAAGTTTAATTTACACATGTCATCACATGATTGGTCAAAAACTAATTTTTTATTTTAATTTTGTTTTAAGAAATTATTATTAATAATTAAAATTAATTAATTATTTTTAATTTTTTCACTTAAAAAAACTAAAATAACCCCGACCCTAGCTCCACCGCGACCTCAGCCACCTTGCCACCCCTACCACCAGCTAGACAAGGCATAAAGCAGCCAACCTCGCCGCGTCGTTCTCCTACTCGGAGCTGTTCTCCAACCCTCCTCTACCCTTTTACCCACCACAACCATTAATGAAATCAAGGTGTGCGAAGAGGAGAAAGGCCAAAATCGAGACGTTGGAATGGGGACAAGGGTCGAAATCAGAGCGTAGGGAAGGGAAGGTAGCCGGAAAAGGGATTGGGGAAGGGGAAGAGGGCTGGGATCAGGACTGAGAAGGGATTGAGGGTTTGGGGGATAGTTATTACTGGGTTTCATGGGAGGGAGAGAGAGAGGTGTGGTGGTGGGGCGAAAACATCCACCCACGACCACCACAAACCACCCACAAACACAACCAGCCACCCACGAACACCACCAGCAACCCAACGATGGCCACAAGCCACCAACCATGAACAACAACCCACAATACAACCCACGACGTGCAGCAAAAACCCACCCCCCGGCAACAGCAACCCAAACCAAATTTAACCTAGAAAACATAGAGAAAAGGGAGTGGCGGTGGTGGTGGTGGAGTATGCCGGAGTTTGAGAGTAGAAAGTGAGTGCAACCTAGCTTGAGAGAGCAGTGTATGAACGCGGGAGGTTGAACCTCAAAATTTTGGCCAAAAATTTTAACTCAAGTGGATGATATAATGTCCCGCTTTTTTTTTAATGAAGCGGTTTGAAACGCTTCCATTTGATTTATGGAAGCGGTTCAACCCAAACCGCTTGCCATTACACATCTCATTAAATTTTTTTTGGGTGGGTTTTTATAAGCAGATTTTAAAAACCGCTTACCATTTGGGGCTTCCCATTTAGTTTTTTCTACTAGTGCGGGAGGGAGGGCGTCGGCGCTGCAAGATAGCTTCTGGGAGGTTGGCGCTCGGGAGAGTTTCTTGGTGGTAGTCGGTAGAGCTGTCAAAAGCTGACCCGACCCGAAATACCGACCCTAACCCTAACCCGTCTGAACCCGAAAAAAATGGTGACCCGAACCCGACCTAACCCGACCTGAAACCAACCCTAGACCCGAGTATTTGAGACCCGAACCCGACCATAACCCGACCTAGAGAGGACCTGACCCGAATGTGACCCGTAAATTATTGACCTGAACCAAACCCGACTCGAACCCGAGAATGACCCAAACCCGATTTAACCCGTCAAAACCCGAATTCAACCCGACTTGTTACTAACCCGAACCGAGGTCAACCCAACCCGTTCCTAACCCGACTCGAATTTAAACCCGACCTGTTACAAACCCGACCCGAAATCAACCCGACTTGTTATTGATCCGACCCATATTCAACCCGACTTGTTATTGCCCCGACCCGAATTTAAACTCGACCTATTACTAACCCGAATTTAAACTCGACCTATTACTAACCTGAATTTAAACGTATTTGAAGCTATATGAGGTGAGTGAGGTGAATCGATGATAGTGATTTTGTCTAATTAAATCAGCGCAAATGATTTTTTTTTCTTTCTAAATTTATCTTCAAAATAAACTTCCATATAACTACTTATAATCCTTTTATTGATCCTTTTTTTTCAAATTTTAGTATTCACTTGTTTATTTTAATATTTTTTTAAATGTTTTAAATTATGCAATTTGATTTGGAGCTTTAAAAAAAAATTAAAAAAAATTTTATTGACTTGAACCGAATCCAACTCGAACCCGAGAATGACCCGACTAGGAAATGACCCGACGTGATTATAACCCGCAAATTATTGACTTGAACCGAACCCGACTCGAACCCGATAATGACCCGACCGATTATAACCCGCAAATAATTGACTTGAACCGAACCCGACTCGAACCCGAACAGGACCCTAACTCGTTTAAACCCGTAAAAACCCGAATGTAACCCGATCCGAATGTAACCCGACCTTTTATTGACCCGACCTAAACCCGACCCAAACCCGATATGATATTTGACCCGACGTGACCCGATTCAAGCATGACCCAACCCGAACCCGACCCGCATAGGCCCCGACATTAACCCGTACTAACCCGACCCGAGATGACCCGACCCACACTAACCCGACTCAAACTCGACCCATTTACCCGAATTGACAGCTCTAGTAGTCGGTGCTGTAGGATAAGCGAGTTCGGCAGCTGGGCCGGTGGGAACTGCGGCGGGAGGGTGGTTTTGGCTGGTGGGGCTTTTTGAAATAATTAATTAATTTTTTCTATTTATTTCAAATAAAAAAAATTAAACTTTTGTTAATTTTTTATTTTTATTTTTTTGACCAATCATAGGCCGACATGTGTCAAGGCGACTTGTTATAACAGGTTAGTTGACCGGTTGGGACTATTGGGAGCAGATTGGCTATGATTATTTAAAAATAATCCAAATGTGGGATTATTTTGGGCGGACGGCCCAAAGGTGGGATTATTTCGGGCAATTTTTCCTTTTAATTTTTTTAGTTGTAATTAAAATTTTAATTACTTGAATATATGCATAATTCTAGCCAAAACTAACTCTACAATCTATATATTCTATAAACATGTTATATTGCATTGTAATTATTATTATTATTAAAGCTTTTGTTTTATTGTAAATTGATATGATTTTAATATTTTCAAGTTAGTGATAGCTTTTTAGGTAGAATTTTCTGTGATTTTGTCTAATTTGTCAACATTCAGACCCTTATTCCTATATTTATTTTTTTCCATCATTTTTGGTTAGGTAGCATCAATACTATTGTTAACCCTTGATGTTGGGCTCTGCAATCATATTTTGTATCTCAATTATTGTCTACTTTAGCAACTGGAGGAAGGGAGCTTCATCATTTGATCAATGTTAATGATGTTACTTTTTGAGTAGTTTATGTTCACAACTAATTTATGTAACTAGACATCCAAGTCTGTTAGCTGTATCCTGTTGTTAATTTGTTATTAGGAATAAGTGTAGTTTTTTCTATCATATCTTGTTCCTTAGGCAGAATAGATTATGTTTCAAACATTATAATATACATTGAATAGACTATGTTTTAAACATCAGTATATACTGAAATAATGTATTGGTTTATTTGATGTGTATCTATGTGCACATGTTAATGAGATAGAAATACATACTAACCAAACATAGGCTATTTATTTATTTATTACAAGAACCTCAACTGGAAAACTTTTCATCATTAGGAGCAGTTCCAATAATGGTGAGCTTATTTTCTGCTTGGCTTTCCTCGTCATCTATGGTAACATTTTCTCCTCTCAGATATCCCGCGTACCATTTCTGAGACAACTTAGGATATCTGGACCGGTTTGGGTCATCGTAATCAACATAGTACAGACCAAAGCCTTTTTCATAGGTAAATAACAGCTCAAACAAGTCCACGAATGACCAGACAAAGTAGGCTTTAGTATTCGATCCATTTCTGTAAAAAAAAGACACAAATATTGATCATTGATAACGTTTTGGTTCTCCTTCATTGAAAATATAGAGGATTCATAGACAGATGAATGTCTTCAACACCTTTTGCAAGGACACCTGCTTTTTATATGAAGCAGGATATGTCTCAGACAATTGTAACAGTTTAAACTAACTAGTATCGAGTTTACCTCACTGCATCAAGCACAGCGCCGATAAGAATTTGCAAATACTCTCTCCTGGATGGGTCATTTACTGATACATTATGGTATGTCAGTTGACCTATGGAAATAAAAAAAATAATTAGAATGTAGATAAAAATTAGCGCGTAATCTCTATTAAGAGAAGACAAGAAGAAACAACCATTCTCATGAATATACATAGGAGGATTGTCATATACATTCTTGAAGTACTCCAATCCTCCTTTAGACCCCATGGTATTGTAGGATATTTATCCTAAGACGCGAAGAAAGAAGAATATAAATTAGAGAAAGAAAAACACAGAATGTAAAAGCAACTGTTGTAAGGCCTGCAACTAAGTCCTCACCACTTTACGTAAATCAGAACTCAGATTATAATCTGCAAAAATAGAAAGAGTATTAGCCTTCCTCACCAGAAAAAGCCGATATTTTGTATGCAGTATAGGTTTTTCATCAAATAATTGGTAGATATGAAATTAAAAATAAGACATACATATCCATTCTGCTGCTATATCAGCGATGTAATCTCTAGGTTCCGGCTTAAGTTTTGTATGTTTGCTTGAAATTACACAGTAGAAATTCACCCCAATAAAGTCGAATGATCCTTTAACCAATTCTGACTGGTTTTTGGTGAAAGTAGGAAGTCTGTTTCCAGCATTTTTCTTCACTATTTCTGGATAATCTCCATATGTCAGAGGATCCATGAAACTGATAAGCCGAAACAAAACACAAAATAACTCTTCTTGGTGAGCCCGACATAGAACAATGAGAAGAATCGGAAAATAAGGTTAAAAAAAAAAAAAGAATTATCTGCGAAGTGAAATAGGTATTTCTCTGATTAAATTGATTTTCACTATAACTACTGTTTTTGCAGCTGATGTTACTGATAAAAACTGATTTTTTTTCTTATCACTATAGAAACTAATCAATCAATCAACCAAAGCCTTAATCCCATAAGTGGGATCGGATACATGAACCAAAAGTGATTGTTACTATAGAAACTAAGTTCTACTGAATATGAAGTATTATTTTCACAAGTTCAGAGAACGAACATGGCTTGGCCTAAGCTTTAAGTGTGAACTTAACAATATATCACAAGGTAACATATAAAACTTACAGGCCAATGAAGAAATCATATGATCTCAGTGCCGCCAATGCATCTTCTGTTGAATTACTTGCCGGAATATAATGAAACAGATACAAACTGAACCCAAGTAACCCGTGTTGTTTGGCCTGCACTCAAGGTTTAAAAGAACAATTAAAGCATCTGGTCATTATGTGTGCAAAATAACCACAACTACAAAAATTCTGAAAGCGAATCAGAAATGTATGATTGTCAAATGTCAATATAGGTATATATGTAGGCTAAGCCTGACATAAAATTGTTAACATAGCAGGATGTTCTAATGCACAGAAAGACATTAAACTTTCAGACCAAACTCACAAGTGTACATCATACCACAATACCACAAAAATTTTGTACATTTGAAACCATATGCTTACCTTATACTTCTCCTTGTAGAGCCTAGCAGTTGAAGCATGAGCAAGCAGAACATTATGAGCAACAATATAGGGTTCTGTTGAAGAGTTTCCTTTCATGCAATAACTTCTGTTAGTGGGAGAACACCTACCAGGAGGCGAATCCCCAGTATCATAACCACCCAAGACAAATATATTTGCCTCATTGATGGTAGTCCAATATTGAACCCTATCACCAAATTCTCTAAAGCAAACATCAGCATATGCTGTGAAGTCATCGCTGTTTGGACAGTCAGCAGCATCAATGTCAGAAGCTTTACAACAGAATATATTGGAGCAAAGATGAGGAAAAGAGAGTACATACACAATACGCTGATCTATGAACCCTCCATATTCATCCTCGAGTGCCTGTGGTGTATCCAAGTGCAGCAATGTAACATGTGGTTGGATTCCTACAATGCAATATTTGTAACAATAACTATGATTAGCAAATAAAATTAAGTTACTTTATTCTTAATTTCTCTTTGCAACTTTAAATGCTGTCGAAAAGATGAGACTTTTACCATGGCTGACAAGTTCATTGATGAGGTTATTGTAATATTCCACACCCTTGGGGTTAACAGGTCCTCTGCCATCTGGAAGAAAAACAAGAAATCAACTTGAAACTTTTTTTAAGCTTCAATAACATTCATAATTTCTGATTACTCATCAGTTGTGATTACTATACCAGGTATTAGTCTTGACCATGAAATGGAGAAACGATAGGCATCTAATCCTGTTTCCACCATCAGTTGAACATCCTCCTGAGTATTTCACATAGGTAAGATAAGGTTATGCATCATTTACTATGTTTTTAGAAAAAATAAAAAAAACTTTAGCCTTTTATTTCAGTATCTCAACCCAGAGAAAAACTGGGTGATAAAATTTTCCATTACCTTGTATTTGTGATACTGATCAGCTGCTACATCTGCAGTTGCATCCCCAAATCTACCTGATTTGTACGCAATAACATGAGATAACGACAATCTAGGAATGCTGGAATAATTATGCTAGTTCGTAAAGATACATATTACTTGACAAGGTAAAGCCATATTGTATATATATCTGACACAGGATCTTCAGCAAAAATGATGAAGTATTAAAGTATCAATCTTAATAGTAACTTTACCAAAAGGTTTATTGACATAAACTTAATCCCCAGAGGTGGACAAAATCATTCGATTTAATTTCATAGATTTGAAAATATATAGATTGAAATGTGGGCCGAATTTGTTTAATGTATGTATAAAGCTGTGACATGTTTAGAACTCTGTCTTAGAAGCAAAATTCTCCCCGACTATGGTGCAATCGTAGATGGTGTTGCCCCCAAAGATTTAACATAGCTATCTCTCTTAATGTTCACTAAAAAAGAGAGATTGGGAACTCACAATATGCTCAGAACTAATTTAGAGGAAAACTGGAAGAATAGAGGAAGAAGAAGAAATTGATTTTTTGTGTATTTCAAAAGCCACGAAAAGGGAGAAAAATCAGCGATAGCTACAAAATCGAGTCAAACGTTACAGGCTATTGTTCAGTTACGACTTGGCCCAAAAAGGTAGGCACACCACACCGCGCACGTGCCATGAACCGGTCGGACGGCGGCGCGTGTGGATGCCCCTTTCTAGCCCACAACAATAGGGAAAGCACTTCAAACATCAAAGTATAAAACATATTTAAACCAAGTAAAACCTTCCTTATCCCACCAATGTGGGACAAAGAGTTTTTCTCCAAAATAAAGAACTTCCTTAGCATTATTTCCAACAGTATGTTTTGTCTCGTTTCCTAGAATAGATTGTTATATACATATATTTGACATAACATGTTATGACTTAGGCTCCATTTGATACAAGTAAATTTAACTGAAATTATACATTTTTTTTAGAGAATTTGCCTGAAATTACATTATCTAAAATTATACGATCTAAATTAATATTTTTAAATAAGATGAAACAAACATACCCTTAACTAATGAGATGCAATAAGAGAAATAATAATATAATAACTCTTACATAATCTCCCAAAAAAAAAAGTTTTATTTTATGGGTTTTCCTACTTTTGCACCAAAAAAAAAAACAAAAATATATTCTCTACAGGTATGTTCCGATTTACTGAAAACAACTGAATAATCTGAATTAAACTGATTAGGGCTGAAATGAACTTAACTCAACTGAATAGTGCTGAAATAAATTATTTATAAGAGAAGGCAATTAGGAACTAAATAGAGCTGAAATCAGTTCAGTTAAGTTGTTTGTAATAAATCGGAGTAGCCCTTAAAAAAAAATCAAGGGTCTATTATGTTTAGCATAATTTCAGTTCAGCTCCAATCAATTCAGTTCACCTCTATTCAATTCAGTTTAGTTCCTAATTTCCTACTCTCATAAACAATTCATTTCAGCTTTATTCAGTTCAGTTCAGTTCACCTTAGCTTCAATTAGTTCAGTTTAGTTCGGCCTTAATAAATTCAGTTCAGTTTAGTTCAGCCCAAATCAGTTTAGTTCAGCCCAAATCAGTTTAGTTCCAATCAGTTCAATTAAGTTGTTTTTAGTACATCAAAACAGCCCCTTAACTCTTATAAAATGGTATTCAAGTAAAATCATGCCAATATCTTAATTATGTGATATATTAATGGAAAAATTGGTTTTAATAATTCTTAATTTGAGTCATTTATTGTAAATAATTTCCAACTTTTGATTATTTAACTATTTTCTTCCTATTATGAGGGGACTATTGTACCATAAATTCCAGTGCAACGGTAGGTGATATTTCTCATCAACTTAATTATACGGAACTCTCTAGTTACAGAAAATAACACATGTGACAAAATTTATGACTATCAAGCCGTAAAAATTGGAAAAAAAAAAGTTAATAATTGAGATAAATAAAAATACCAGAATGAGCAAAAGTATCAAAGATACTAGCTTTCCTTCCATCTTCAAATGCTGCTCCTTCCACCTTCATATATTTTATTCAACCCAAAAAAAAGAAATTAAATTATAGAGTCTAAATTAAAATTCTCCCGATCATAAGAAAATTAAAAAGGAAATCGAGAATTACTGAAAAGGATGTTGAAAAAAAAGGGGGGGTAAGAGTGAAACCTGGTAAGAAGATGTGCCAGCGCCAAAGATGAAATGGGGTGGGAAGTCATAGCGGTTATACACTTTTGCAGCAACACCAACTGATTTTCCCGCTACATTTATGAGAAAATAACTGATTAAAAGGAGAGAGAAATATATGCTTATCCTCTTCATTTTTCAGCTGCCTCTTATTTCTAATCTTTAATTATGAACTTTTTTTTTTCATCTTGAAATAAGTTTGAGAAAGTTAGCAGTAATTATGACCTTTATATAGTCAATATTCCACGTGGAAATATTTGTTTTTAAAATTACTTAATTTTTTTGTACTTTATAATCACTTACATTTAAGGAAAATGATTAGAGTTGGTGGTGGATTAATATGTCAACACAAATTCAGACTAAAGCCTACATTTATTACTCCGTAAATTAATAAACCCTTTATTTGGAGTATTTGTTAGTCTCATATGGAGTACTATTTTGGGTGTTTTTTTTAAAAAAAAAAAAACAATATCCATGTTTAATGTATTTCATTTATAACTTAGTTTTTTTAATTTTGTATTTTATACATATAAATCTTTGATTGGTTAAATTAATTGACTGTAGATTAATGATATGGCTCTAATCAAAAAAATTGCACCCTTGAATTATGCAATTATGGGGTTGATGATTTCCCAAAAAAAAAAATCAAAAAATTTTAAAAAAGCAAAAGTAATTATGAATTGTTTTGTACTTTAATGTTAGATTCCAACTTAGGGATGGCAGTAGGTCGGGTTAAATGGGAGACCCGCCCCATCCCCGTCCAAGTGGAGCGGAGATGGAGGGAGGTTTGGCTGGTGATGGGGCGGGGATGAGTATAAAATGTGTACCCGCCATGGGTGATGGGGCGGGTATGGATTTTAGAGTAGACCCGCCCCATATCCACCCCGCCCCGTACCCATCTTATACCCGCACCATATTTCTTTTAGAAGAGTTGAGAATTTATGAAACTTGATACCCCCTAAAGACCTAATAAGCTTGAATAGTGAAAGTCTCAATTTTCTTAACCTAATTTGATATAATCGTCATTAATGTGATACAATATAGCATCATGACAAAGGGTTTGGGACGATTTTGGGGCGGGTATGAGGTGGGTATGAATATCCAAGTGGGTGAGGGGCGGGGATGGATCCTATCTTGTACCCGGTGGGCGGGGATGGATCCTATCTTGTACCCGGTGGCCTGGGGCGGGTATGAATGTGGATATTGTACCCGCCACGGGTGGTGGGGCGGGGATGGGTATAAGATTTTTAGGCGGGTATGGGTATGGAGGTACCATCATCCGCATCTGACCCGCCCCATTGCCATCCCTATTCCAACTATTGTTCTTTTTTTTTTCTTTTATAATTTTTTTTTATTTATTCCATACGAGACTATCATATGGAAAACAGAGAGAGAAATACATTAGTTAATGTTACCCTACAAGTATTAAAGATTATCCTTATTTACTGGAAAAGTTACCAATTTCCTTAATTACATAAATAAATATATATATTTAATTACTAGATTTTCCCTAGCATTTTAGAAAATTAGTGATTTTATAACAATTGTTATATACTTTGAATAATGTGTAAAACCTTAATCATGAACTAAAAGTTATTTACCATATACGTGTACTTATTCATAAAGCATTAGGACTAAAAAAGTGAATTGCTATTTACCACAATAGAATTACTCAAACTATAGTATTAAATGACCTTCATGCCCCTTTTAATTTTGAAAATTACGTACTCACCATCCAACCACCACTAACTTTGACCCACTACACTAACCTTGACCCTCCAAACTACGACTCCACCTTGACCATCAACTCCACCACATGTACCACCATTAACCCTTACCATCCACCACAACGGGTCCACCTTGACAACTAGCTTGACCACCAACATTGTAGATTCACGACAATTAACCACCAACATTGTACTTTTTGACTACTAAAATGAGTTGATGTCGGTCCGCGTTCATATCGAAGGCATTAGGTGGGGATGACGAACCTTCGACACCGTCGAGTCAAGTCAAACTTTTTTTTTTCCATTTTCCGATGTTCATGGTCGCATGTAATATGCGATTGTACCATGGTACAGTCGCATATTACATGCGGACGTGTACTATTTAAATTTCTTTTTTTTTTGTAGGGAATCTTAAATTTTTTTAAATAATAATTAAAAAGAACAAAATACATTTAATTAGTAAATTTACGATTTTTTTTTCACATGAATTTAATTTAATGCTCATATTTAAATTTAATTTTAATTTATATTTGAGGGGAAAAAATTTAACTTTAATTTTTAATGTATCATGTAATAGTTTATAAGTAATAAAAAAAATGTTAAAAATAATACAATCTTTAAGCGGTCTGCCAAAAATAAGTCAATCTTTTGATAATTCTAAAAATACAAACTTTGGGGGGGGGGGGGGGAGGGGGTGTTCGCTTTAAACAAGTTTTAACATGCTAGTGACTTGTTTAACAGGTTATATGCACACATGTCATCGTTTAATTGGTTTAAATTTTTTATTCATCTTTTTTATTTTATATAATGTTTTTAATATTAAAAGGATTAATTAATTATTATTATAAGCAAAACACTCATTATTATTAAAACTTTTAATTTTTTTAAAAAAAAGTTATCAAAATTGTTATTATTTTGTTTGTGTCAAAAAAAAAAAAAAAACCATTCCATCAAAAAAAAAAGAAAAAAAACCCTTTATCAAAAAAATAAAATAAAATAAAATAAAAACCACTCACCACCACATCCAGCCACAACCTCCTCCCCCACCGTCGTTGTCTAAACCCCACCTTCACTACCAGCCTGTCGCTTGTCCTTCATCGACCCCCCGTTCTTCCTGCCGGCCCTCCGCGCCACTCCACCCTAACCGTCTTCTTTTCCCCCTTCCCCAAAACCCCTCCCATCCCCCTACGCAACCACCATAGAAACCCCTTCCCCACTCCCGTAAACCGCGAATCACTCATTCCCTCACCCTAAAACCCTAGCGGCTAGGGTTTTTGATGGTGGGGGAGGATTGTTTGGGGGTTATTCAAGAGTAAAATAAGGGAGGTTTTTTCATGGGAGTTTCGAGTGGTGGTGGTGTCCGAATCGTCGGCCGACGCTAACGATGGTGATTGGGTTTTGGCCTGTTGTGTTAGCCTGCTGTCTGGCTGCGTCGGCCGGTGCTGCAATGGCTGCTTAGCTGGGCTTCGGCCTGGCCGCGGCTGAAGCAGCCCAGTCACTTGCCCTTTTTTTTTTTTAAGTACTTACCTTACCCTGTGTTTTTTTTAATAGGAGTTAATTAATATTTTTCTTTTTAACACAAAATTAATTCATTATTTAGTTAGAATTTAATTGATCTTTTCTCAAAAAAATAAAAAATAAAAAATAAAAATAAAGACTTTATATAATACTTAAAATTCTGATTAGAAGTAAATTATGTTGTTAAATGATTTTTAATTAGTCTTGAATACAACACAATAATCATCAACACATATTCAATAATACAACACAATAATCATCAACACGCCAACAAATATTCCAAATTAATTCTTGAATTGATTATTGAGCACATACAATTTAATTTAATTAGGGTCTGTTCACATTTACTGAAGGAGCTGAACTGAATTGATTGGAGCTGAACTGAACTGAATTGAACTGATTAGAGCTGAAGTGAACTGAACTGAACTGAATTTAGCTGAAATGAATATTTTATGAGAGAGGGAAATTAAAAGCTGAACTGAACTGATTGGAGCTGAATTGAAATTAAGTAAATGTGAACAGGCCTTTAGTCTTCCTTGCCTAGTTTTGTGCATAAAATCACATTATTACTACTTTGGTGTATAAAATACACTTATACTCAATCTCAACTCAAGTGAGTGAATGAGTAATAATTAAATAAATTGACTTCTTTGACTCAACTCCAACAATATATGGGTGAGAATAAAATCATTATTGGGCTCAATAAATATAATCTTAGCTCCTTTTAACATAAATAAATCTTATCCAGACTCAATTGGGCCAATTAAAAGCGAATTTGGAATTATCCCTTAGATTTGGAAATGGAATATGAATTATTATGTACAAACGGGCAAAAATTGGGATAATTTTTATCAATTTTTCCTTAATATTTTAAAGTTACTAATAGTTTTTATTTTATTTTATTTTATTTTATTTTTTTCTTTTGTGGTTTTGTCTGATATGTCATGCATTAAGCCATTCATTATGACTTGTGGATGATCAACAAACTAGTTTAGTCATTACCTTGTATTTACCTTGTTATTCAAGATGTTGGATCAAATCCCATTTACATTATTTGTTCTTTTGGTAGGATCGATCTTTCAACATTGTATGTTTTGTATCTCAACATTGTCTACTTTAGCAACAAGAGCAAGGGAGCTTCATCCTTTGAGTTTTTGAGTAGTAACAAATCATGTTACTATACATTAATATCCTTTGTTGTTAGGAAAGTCTGTTACTTGTAAGTTGTAACATGTTATTAGGAATAAGTTTAGTTTTTTTATCATGTTTATTAGGTACGATAGATTATATTTCCAACATTAGTACGTATATACTTATATATTGTATGTGTATGTTAGATGTGTATCTATGTCCAAATGGTAGGTATTTGAGAGATTGTATTTTCATTGTTTTCTTATTGAGAAAAGAAAATAACATTTCACAACCCTTTACATTGCTAGCAACTCCAAAAAATGCATGGTTTAATTTTAGCTAGTCTAAGGGTCTGTTCTCATTGACTGAACTCAAGTGAACTGAATTGAACTGAACTGAACTGAACTGAGCTGAGCTGAACTGTAATGAACTGAACTGAAATAAATATTTTATAAGAGAAGGAAATTAGGAGCTGAACTGAACTCAACTGAACTAAATTAAACTGAACTGAACTGAATTGCGCTGAGCTGAACTGAACTGAATTGAATTTCAACGTAAGAGAACATGCCCTAAATTTATTAAAATAGTTTGTACAAGCACATCAAATTAGTAGAATAAAAGAGGTTTATTCTCCTTTTATTAATCTTTAAGTGACCATACTTGTACATTTGAAGGAATTTCTAAGCCTACACAATAATTCAATTCAATCTCAACAACTAAATCAACCACCTTTTTTCCTTGCTCTTATATGAAATATTTTCTACAACAGTTACACTATGTCACTTTTGCGAGTCAACACTTTCAC